GAAGGTGAAGGTGAAAGTGAAAGGCTGAAATTATTACTGCATATGAGAAAATGACGTTGAGTATACAAGGAAGGGAGAGTAATGGTATGGTTGGTGTAAAACTGATATTGGAATCACTTCATCACTTGATAACTGTAGGTGTGAAAGATAACTCTTAAATAGAGAAGATAAGAACATAAAGTCTATAATATTCATACACTCACTCACACACACACACACAAACACACACACAAAACAACAAAATTAATCACTTACGGGGTTGAAACATAACTACTGAAAGAAAATATACACCCTCCATATACACAAACACACATTCACTCATCTACCTATCTATCTATTTATCTACTTCGAATCCCCTTCCTCCCCACGCATTCACTCATCTACCTATCTATCTCTTATCTCTACTTCTATCTATTTATCTACTCTGAATCCCCTTCCTCCCCACGCATTCACTCATCTACCTATCTATCTATTTATCTACTTCGAATCCCCTTCCTCCCCCAACCCACCCACTTCAAGAAGGAGGAAAAGAGAGCAAGAGTTTCACATCGTCGAAATACCGTCCATAGATCAGCTGGAGCACTTGGGGACTCGTCTCTGCTGCGCAAATATTCATGGAATTCTTTGAAATATTCCCCCGTCCTGTCGCCTCGCCCTCTGACCTGCGCTGACCTTTTATCCTTTTTTTTTTTTTCTTCTTCTTTTTTTAGACCCCGCTGTCGGTCATGGACGCCACAAAGACATGGCGGGAGATGGATGGCGTTTAGAGATGATCCAGGGAGATGAGTGGGGTTCGAGGTCGGTGTTAAAACAGGTGACGAGAGTGCTGTCTGTTTTGTTCTTAGTAGATGCTAGTTTGAAAGAAGGAGCATGGGTTGCTTTTATTTGTTGATTGCGTGTCTTCTTATGCTGTTTGAAGGTAGTTAACATGTATTGCGTGTGTGTTTTCTTCTATATATTGAATAATCTCTCTCGCTCTCTCTTTATATGCGTATATTTATACATACACACACACACACACACATATATAGACATACATACATATATATTCACACATACTTACTCATACAAACACACACATATATGTACTACCTCTTATTGATTGCTAGCTTTAAAACAATGAGCAAGTAAAACTCCTCTGTATTTTGTCGTAGCTATAATGATATTCATAACTAGCTTTAAAAAACAGCAAATAATTTTTCTTCTCATTACGTACTCTCTCATCCCGACAGAATTTGCTGGCTTTAGATAAAAGCTAGTAACTTTTTTCGTGTTGTCTTCCTCTTCCTGATATTCCTTGCTAGCTTAAAAATGGCACTAATCTCTCTTTCTGTTTTGAATTTCCTCCTGCTCGTGCTCCCGGCCAGCTTAAAAAAGAAATGAACAAGCAATTTCTCTGCGCACGTCGTACTCCCTTCCTCTGAGCATCATTGAACCATCCTGTACTTGAGTTTCGAAACCACTTTGGAGTTCATGCTATACAAATTTTTCCTCTATATATTTTCTTTTTCCCGTTCCTTTAACGATGAAAATTCCTATTCGTAAGGAGTCATATTGAAAGGGGAACGTAAAATAATATCCACAAATAAAAGAAAGAAGAAAAAAATCAATAAATAAAATAATGAATAAGTTCAAATAATCACGAATGGCTTTTGAATGCAGAGTTTTAATTAAGTGATGTTCTAATTATTCAGCTGCTCGCTGGGGCATAAGCCAACAACACATTTTTTTTGCCTTTTTTTATCAAGTAAATTCAGGTTCGGCGCTGCGGTCAACGAGACCATTTAAACCTTTGATCATTTTGGAATCTCAAAGACTCGGGAAAACATTATACCCATGTTAAGGTGAATGCATATAAGATAAACAGTATATGTATATGCGCAAAGTGAAAATATAAAAACGAAAATAAAAACGAATAGAGAAATAAGAAAAAAATATACATTGCTAAACAGAAAATGTATATGCAGACCGTATATAAACAAATCGTATACAAAGACAAACACTTCATGTATATGCACAAAGTAAACCATACTGTCAAAATTCTTGGACAAACATGCATGGTTTGGGCTTGAGGTTTTCGAGTGAATTGATCCACCGCTCAACCACGTTAGCGAACCCAAAGTCATTTCGCTTTAAATACTATCGGTCATCGCAACTATCAGGACAAACGACATTAAAAGCTACTTCCTTAATTCATGTTAAATTAATTGCAAAAGGAACAAGGAAAGACGCCTTTTCGTATTTTTTTCTTACAATTCGTTGTTTCTTTTTATTACATGCGACTGATGACTCGAGGCATGTACAGGAATGTTTCGTAAATAGCTAACTTTATTTTTCATAGGATACAAAAAATAGCATTATTTTATTGCTTCATCAGTGAATAAATTCCATTCTCTTCTCAGTTGTCAATGATAATAATGATAATGATAATAATAATAATAATGATAATAATAATAATGAATAATAATGATAACAATAATAATAATGATACTAATGGTGA